TGGAAAGACGCTTCTTTAAAAAAAAAAAAAAAGATTGTCATTTACATTAAATGTACTGGGACATCCGGGCTAATTTTTCGAAAAATACCTTTGGTATTCCGAGTACTTACCAGGTCTAAGATTACAATACTTTTCTTCATTGGCAACCTACTTTAAAACGTGTTTAAAGTTATTTATGCAAGCGAGAAATTCAATAAAATCGTACGGGTGGTGGTGGTGGGGGAAGCAGAGAGCGCGGCCGCTTCGGCCTGCTCGAAATTGAATCGGCTATAACTACGTAACTAATTGATCAATCGATCTGTTTTTTTTTAAAGAAGCGTCTTTCCAAGAACTTTTAAAACCTGCTTTAAAAAATTTGATTTGATTGAATATTCACAAAGTTCTAATTGTTTATAAGTACAAAAATTCGACCAATGTTTAAACAAGCGCCAGAGCTCTCCTAATTGACGGATTCGAATTTTTCAAAAAAAGTTTGAAAGCTTGAGAGCCCTTCTATATGTGATTAAATTTTCAAGTATCTAAGGGCCTTGGTTTTTGCTGTGCAAAATTTTGAAAATTTGCAATTTTTTTTTTAATCTGGATTGCAAAATATTATTGTGCAAAATCTCGAACCGATTTTGATGAAATTTGGTGTGATAATTCTACATAACATGAAGTTTTTTTGAGCCAAGTATAAAGGTCCTATACCCAATTTAAATGCCCCAAAAAATTCCCTAAAAAGTATTGTTTTTTAACCCCATTTTTGCGATTTTTTCGATTTTTACCATAATAATAATGATTCATTCGATTTGTAACTAGACATGTTTTGTAAAAAATTTAATTGCAAACATTTTTTTCGTCTTCCATTTTCGCCTAAAATCAACTCTTGAAAAGATACATAATTAAATAGGAAGAAAAATATGACATTTTTCGAATTATTTTAACATATTGTGCCGCCGAAAGTTAAGCCCACGTTTTTTTTATGCGCATAGAAAAATTTTAATTTCTAAAGATATTTGAAAGCAAAAAAGCCAAAAAACTCCGTGGATATACGATTCACCCAAACCAAAACAGATACCGCCTAGTCTATTAATTTATAAAAAAAATAAGATCAATACTAATGATTTACCAGGATTTGATTGAAAAATGTAATGTTTTAATCACAGAATAAGAGAACCTCTGCAAGATATTTTAACAATCTTATTTTTTTTAAAAACCGCAGATAAGAAAATTATGATTAATTTTCTAGTCACTAAGAGAGGTTTTTTGGGGTCTTAAAAATTATATGATTATTTTGGTAGGTACGGTTTATTACCAACTATAAAATTAACAAATTTGAAAAAAAAACGGTTATCGCATTTTTTTTCTTAATATTGAGTTTACATAAAAGATTAATTAACGAATTTGATGATGAAATTAACTTTTGTTGCCAATCTATAGCTTAGCTGATTCTTTTAAAGTTAGAAACGACTGGATTTTCAATACCAGCGAGGACGAATTGACCTAACGGATGTGTGATTCTTGTAAGTCGTTGGTTATCATATACATACAGACAAAGGAAATGATGTAACTGAACAGTACAAATGAAGAGAGTGATATATGTAAATCTGATTTAATTTTTGTAATTGGAACAATTTGGCTATAACAATATGATATAACAGGTATTATGTGAAGGTAAAATTTAGTCATCTTTCTGCAAACTGGCTAGAATTATGTATTTTTTTTCTGGTAGGTTAAGTTTTAAAATTTATCATTTTTTAAAACATATTTCTATTTTAAATTTTTAATTTTTCTTGTTATTTTGTCAAATAATATTAATATGTACAACTTAAATCTACCTTGGGTGTTGTATTCATCATTGAAAGATAAATTTTTTCTATAATATAGAGCATTGAAGAGGGTTATTCGTCATTATATTTCAAGAATAACAATTTAATATAAACATATTTCCTAAAACGTTCTGTTTCTGAGATATACAAAAATTTTGTCACCAAAAACACCATACCACACATTCACTGAAAACCGTTGCGGAAACCGAGCTGTCTGTACAACGTGAGGATTTGCATCACACCAATAGTGAATGTTGTGAAAATTTAGTATGCCGTCTCTAGTAAAACAACATTCATCCGAAAAAAGCACCTTGCTTGTAAAATCCGAATCTTGTGCTATTTGATATCGAAACCTTTGTCAAAATTCCACACGGGGCTGAAAATCATTGTTATTTATTTCCTGAACCCCTTGTACATGATAGGGGTGTAATAATTGTTCCCATAGTATATGCCGCATGGTACTGTTAGATACATTCATTTCTCGGTCAATGTCGCGAGTACTGCGCCTCGGATTTTTCTCAAGGAGGTTTATGATGTTTTCTTCGTTGTCGAAAACACGTTACGGCCTTTCCCGTCCACGACCTTCATAATTATTATGTCAGGTGGACATTCCCGTATCCCGTAACCTTTGAACTGCCTTTTGAACTGATCTACTGTTAGGTTGCCATCTGTTACGGTAACGGACCGCATACAAACGACAAGTCTCATTTAAATTGTACTGTACTCCATACGTTAACACCATATCTGCTAGTGCTTTATCAGAAAATGTTTTATACGCCACCGCCGGCTAAGTGATACTGCAATATACAACTAAAGAACACAACACATAATTTAAATTTATTCATCTCTGGTAGGAGAGGAGCCTTGTACCATGAGGAGTGCTATCTCTAGTCCAATTATCCGCAGTAAAAATGACTCGAACATTCAGGGTACATTCCTTATTTTTATTTTAAAATCCCTTAATTCAAGTAGTTTGAATATCTTCGTTACTAGGAACAGAAAGGAAGTCATAGTTATCATCGTGGCATTGTGGATCAAGCGTAAGGTCAAGGACTGGCAAGTACTGTCAAATTTTTCCATTTCAGATTATCGTCATAATAACTTCAGTTTAGAGGCAGATATAATATCCAAGGAATCGAAGATCAACGGGTCGGGACCTCTATAAAGAGAGACTTTGATACAACTGTGTGTGGAAAATCCAGGGGGACAAATCAGTATTTACAAGTTTCCTTGGTGGAAACAAAATGGAAAGAAACTCGCGGTATCTATAACAGGACGAAGTCAACAAAACTAGACATTGATTAGAACCAGTAACGTCTGTCTAAGAGCATTGTTCAGTAAATCAAACGATTGGCTTGGACAAAAGCACTGTCACTTCAAAAATTCATAAAATAATATATAGAAACCATGACAGATGCTCTCAGGTTTCCTCATGATACAGATGCCCGTACCATTAAAAATATATTGGAACATTTAAGTGACCATTTGGATTGGAAAAAATGTGCGATTTAAAAGTTCTTATCATTAAAAAGCTCGGGGATGGGTAGTGAATTTCCGATTTTCCTGGAACATGGGTCGGAATATATTATCTGTATCATCTATTATCTGCATCATCTGCTTTTGGCCACCTTAGCTTTAGGATACATTCGGGAGGATACACCGTATATCTTTACTATTGAAGTTGCAGAGTCGATATAGAGGCACAAAAGAGGAAATTTGTGATACTGCCACTTCACAGTTAACAGCACTCTTACCAAGCAGGAAAATCTGCAAAAACGGCATTATATCTTGTAGTGTACAAAACTGAAGAAAGTAGTAACCAAAAGGAACTCGTTATCGGGACTTTCTTAAGTATAGTTTGAAGCTTCCGATACCACTTCCTATGACTATATCCAAATGGCTACTTCGGGGAACGGCTTATTTGCCACCGTAGCTAGATGGAGAGATGTTATATATCCTTAATGAGACCATGGATAGGATGACTATGGGTTGAAGATGTCCGTAGGGGGTCCGCAATTTTGGATTTAAGAAGTTCCGAACTAAAACCTTATATTCGTGATTAGCGATTTAAACCACGGAGTAACAAGTTTCAGCCATATTTTGAATGCTTTCCCGATTTTTATATCCGTCATAATAGATTAGCCATCTTTTATTCAGGAATTTTCTGATTCGGACTTCAGGTTCGTAATCAGCGACCCCAAAAACATACGGTAATAAAATTCATTCAATAGAAAAATGTGTGACTTAAAGGGGTACGTGCAACCTCGGTCTGTAGGTGGTTTCCAACACTTAGAGGGATAAGTTATATTATATTTGTTTGATATGTTGTCTGTTAACCTACATTTATATGTATATTTGGTAGCATAAAATAAAAGGCTATAGTTTTTCACATTGTTTTTGCACTAACATTCGTTATTTGATCTTAGGGGTGGAATTAACACCCTCGTATGGGTTGGTGTGGATTTAATTTGCATATGTTATTTCTTTCCAATGCTCAAAGTATTATTTTAAAATATTTTCTCAAAGTAGTTACAAATTATTGCTTTTAATTATAAAGTTTCATCCTCGCTATTTTACTCTATTTTAGCGTTTTGGTAAAAAATGTCCTGAAAAATCGGTTTTTAGGTTGCGGATTCGTAATCAGCTTTAGAAAATACGCAAGATCTATGTACTCATGTCCCTGGTATAGAACTTTTTTGTGGGGCTGTTATTAATTACTAGGTGTCTACTAGATATTGGTAGACACCTGGTATAATTCAATGCTAGTTGAGGCATGTAGGCCTCAGAGTAGTTGTATATCGCAATATCATCATTCAAAAAGCTTGTCTAGGAGATTAGATAACTTTTGCATACTTAGATTTTGGGTACTGACTTCATTTGACAGGATTTAAAAAAATATTTATTTGAATTATCTGGTGCCTTTAAAATAAAGACATATATACGAGGGCTAATAATAAAATAATATATTATTTTTATAATACAGAGTATTTATTCATTTAAACAAAAAACTACGTATTTATGTAAAAAGGCTGAATTTTTGCAAAGATAAGTATTTATATTTGTTAATAATGACGACGTTTTTTTTAAATATTCGGTTTCTTTTTACGATTTTTAAAATAAAATAAAATACATATAGCATTAACAATTCTTTTTCTGTATCCACAAATAATTCTCATTTGATTAAATATTTACCTTGCACAGCTTGTTCCAGAGCTTTCTTCTTTGACGAAACCATTCTTTTCAAATCTGGTTGATATTCCGTCAATGTTTTAGCCAATCTTCCCACCTTGGTCTTAAGTGTCGGGTCATCATGGGACGCAAAGAGCCTAACTAGCTGCCACACCACTTGTTCGGCGTTTATGTTTGGCCTTTGACCCGATGTTATTAGCCTACAAAGACCATATGAAGTTAATGTCATTATATATCTACATAACAGTTAAATTAAACAGTTGTTTAATGCATGAATTTGGCTAGGGAACACAGGTGTTTTAATTATTTATTTAAATAAGAAAAGAGTTTTCCTTATCCAATGATTAAAAAATTCAGACATTACACATGTTACAAAGTAATTTCTTATATATAGTGTGGTCTATTGAGGAATGTGATGTTTCATTGTTTTACTAGTGATTTGGTTTTGTCAAGAGACATGCCTTCCTAATTAGATATATTAGGAAGGCATGTCTTCACATTTGAGTTTAATAAAAGAATTTGATTATGCAATGTATACAGGGTTCTTCACGGTAAGTGGCCCATTAGTCGTTTCAGAGGAACCAAAGACAATATGACCCTGAAATTTTGTTTACGATGGTTATCAGATATGTTCTCTTCAATGAAAATAATGCCATCAACGTAGCAGTTCCGGTTATACCGGAAGTAGCTGTCAACTTCGTCATTTTAAATGGAACACTCTATACATTATTGCATTATCTGCAAGATATATTAAAAATAAGTCAAAAATGTTAAAGCTCCCTTACCTAAATCTAATCATTTTCGAGATAATCGTCATTTTAAATTTTGACAGATGCAATCTATCTTTCGTCGTTCTGGGAGCTTTCACTTGCTTTTCGGAATACACAAAGAACATAAGATACACTACCTTCCCATACCAAAATTAGCTGAAGTGTCTCATTTTTCACGTTATATTTTGAAAACTTAAAACCGACAAAACTTTTTAAATTCAAATGGAACACCCTGTATCTTTCTGCATCATGTTATAAAAAATCAAATTCTCTTTTCACCGATATAGTCATTGTAGGAGTTACAGTTCCAATTTTCTCAGATATTTGCGGTTTACTTACATTCTCAAGAATATTACGTTAAAAATATCATCAAATGTACCTTGAAAGGCAGTTGAGTTACACGAAGGCGATAGAAATTGTACAAATTGTTCTGTTGTGTTGTTGAATTCCCGATGATTCTGTCGATTTCTTAACAGTATTTTTCTACAGTTACGGTTCGTGTAGAGGGTTCCATATTGTTGATAATTGTCCTTGCAATGTATAGCAATGTTATTGTTCATGGTGTACTTGAACTTAATACTTGAACTTGTATGGTAGTATATAATTATAGTTGTTTATATGTTTACGTAATGAAGCAATGAACCCGCGCAATAATTGTTTATGCATTGGTAATGTTATCGACATTGGAATTAAAAAATTTTTATTATGTGAGTATAACATGTAAATAAATTTAAATGAAACAAGAATCACATAGATAATTGATTTGTCGACTAAAATATGTCAAGATTTGAATAAAAACGTGATAATATGTAACGGTTTACTTTTGCGGTAGAATCTAAAGTGGTTTACATATTTTTTCATAGAATAATAAATCGTAATGTTTCACAAATAATAAATTCTAACTTAAAAAGATGCTCTCAAAAGATACTTTAATTTTTATAAGTATTAGAAATTTTTTATATGCTTTATGTGGTAAATAGTGTTTAAATCAGTTACCATTAAAAAAAATTAGATTTAGAGATTTTGAAATAAACTAATAAAAGTTCATCTAAGAAAAAAACGGTAAAACAACTGTTAACACTGTGTATATCCTGCATCATTGGATTTTTTTATTTCTATATTATAATTGTTTACTACAGTTCTGTGGTTACCAGAAAACATGGTGGTAAAATCGATCAGAATAGGCCTTTTATCTTTTTGTAACGTAAAAGACAAATGAAAATAAGAAATTGATGGTAATTTGTTTGGGAATGGGGTCAGTTTAAAAAAAAACCAGTTTATTGGTTAGTCGACGTTTCGGCTATATTTAAACCTTCTTCAGGACAATCCAAAAAAGGTTTTCCGTGTAACAAATAATCTAAATAATGGGGAGTAAAATAGGTAGTATGTTGTTGTATCAAAATAGTACATTACTCGATGTTGATTAAAATATCTCTATCACAGATATTTTAATCAACATCGAGTAATGTACTATTTTGATACAGCAACATACTACCTATTTTACTCCCCATTATTTAGATTATTTGTTACACGGAAAACCTTTTTTGGATTGTCCTGAAGAAGGCTTAAATATAGCCGAAACATCGACTAACCAATAAACTGGTTTTTTTTTCAAAAACTGACCCCATTCCCAAACAAATTACCTTCAATCACTGGGTCATGAAAATACTCGAAAATAAGAAAGTTAAGATGACCAACAAAAACATTAATTTTGCTAGAGAGAAGATTCTGTATTTCTCAAAAATATTTGTTGGAGGATTTGTTCTTCTGATGATGAATGGGCTCATTTCTATTGTGATCTGTAATTTTGTTTGGAACAGTAATTTTATTTCCTTCAAGTTGATAACCAAATTTTAGTAATTAAAAATTATTAAAACAATAATATCAAGATTACATTAAGACAAAATATTCTGTTTCACCGACTCTGATTGGTGTAATTTTTCGAGAGATTCTATTCAACCAATCATGGATTGCATGATCTCAAGCGCAGACGTTTCGGTTTATTACTAATTAATTACAAGCAGTGCCCTCTGGAACTTTAACTTATTTGCCATTTCTGATACAATGTTCTGAAATGATCAAAACAATAAAATGGACCTGATTAATTAAGAAAAAAATGGAAGATATTCCGCGAAAATTAATTTGATTCATAATTTTAACACCCCGTATTTTGAAAACGAAGTCTCGCAAGACAAAAAGCTGTTTGCCATACTACGCTTATTTTTTTGTGAAGAAATCATTCTCATGTTTTATCGAATTCTAAGCACATTTGTACTCAACACATCCAGTTTTGATGCATTAATATAAATGTTATTACCTCTTGACACACCTGTTTATGTAAAGTGTTAGCAGCAGCGGTGATTCTAACATGCAAATCGTTCAAATATGTTTCTATATAATACATATTTTTTATTTATCTTCACAGAGTCAATGGGATTGATATCGGGACTCTGGAGAGCCCATGCTGATCCACCTCGACCAATCCATATATCTGATCCAGAAAATTTCCTACGCCTAGAAGAAAATAATAAGGCTCCCCATTATGCAAAAACCACATTCTTTGTTCGAATATATCTGAGAAGATCGGGCAAATCATGCGCATAAACTGTTAATAAATCGGCGCCGTTCATTCCATTCGCTAAAATAAATAAACCAGTCCAATGATTATAATAGCTAAACATTTTATGGGCTAGTTTCTTTTGAAGATGACAGCGATTTGTCTCTCGAGACGTAAGATGTCTAAACTGATAATGTGATAACCAATCTGAAAATTCTTCGACTATTGACAACTGCCACAGAAATCTGCAAATCAAAATAGCCAGCAATATCTGCCCGAAGATTAGAATAAGAATAATGCTGAAAATGGTGTCCTTTTCCATTTCCTACAGGTGAATGTTGTGAATGTGTGTATACTCTTTCTTTTAAAATAAAGTTTCCTTTGTCTCCAGTATATAGTTTGTGAATCGAGGATTTTCGGAGGCAAAAGGTTGGTAATTAATTTGTTTTGCTTCTCCATCACTTTCGTGCTGTTGAATTCATGTGCGATTTTATAAAACACTAAACTCCACTACATTAATTATTTGAATTAAAATAAATTTTCTAAATAATGTGAAAAATTGAGCCAAAAATATACAAAGTACAATACTGAATACATAAAAAAATGATAAATACTTTACACTATTATCCACCGCGTTAATTAATTAAAGGGTACTACCAAATAATTTACATAAATAATTGCTCTTCTTCTAAATAGGTTAGGTACGTTACTGAGCACCAGACAACACCGCATTATAAAAACAAATCATAAAAAGTTTTTGTGAGTCGATGCCTGCTATAATCTCCGAGTTAATGTGGGTGTAATAATTTATCTAAGTTTAATAAGTTTTTCCTTGTTTTTTGTATGGAATAGGAAAAAATCTTTTCACATCTCGTGGGGTCCTTAGATTGTCATTATTCTCCCATTTGCCGTACGTGTAAATTTAGTATTGTGTGAATTTTTAACCTTATATAAGACGGACTACAAAACTAAATACCCGCACACAGTTGACTATATCGAAGGACCAAAAAATAGAATTGCTCTTTTGGTATATCCATATTTTCACACATCAATAGGTCTTACATGTTTTAGGCCACCCTAGTCTGGTGTAACGATAACATCCACAGTAGAACTACTCATATCAACGATTTATCTGATTGCTTCTTGGGCTACAGCTTGTACTTTCACTGCATCTATATGTATTATATTAATACGTCGTGATGTCAGTTCGTTTTCACCAGTATAGCAGATAATTTCTTTATAATTACAGACATTAAGTCTACTTTTCTTTTTAATTAAATACAACTCACGGAAAAATATTTACGCCTAACGATTAATAGCTTATAGTTCAGTCGGTTATACCACGGCATAGTTATTTTGAGAGAAAACAATTTAGTTCCTTTATGCTTTACAAAACCGACTTCATGATTCATCAGGTCGCAAATTATTGCTATGTGACCCTGATATGCCAATCAATTATAATTCAGTACCTTATTTACGTATTTAATAAATTGTAACAATATTATTTACTTTGCTACTTGGGCTACTTTACATTATCGATCACGCTTCACAAATTCGAAAAGTAAGAATTTTCTCATGAAATTAGTAGCTTAAAATATGAAAGTTATGTACATTTTTCCTCTCTTAAACCGAAAAGTCTCTAGACATTATTATGAAAATGTTAAATTTATGAATTTATCAATTAAAACACTAAACTAACTTTTGCAAGAATCTTCCTACCAATTAATTGATTTAATTCCAACAAACATTTTTTGTGAATTTCACAAAAATATTTAGAACAGCAAAATAATATTTTAATTGACAGATGTCGCCCTCGTGGGCTTTTTGAAAAGTCCACGTTTTGCTATGAAATAATTTATATCTTCTGTAATAG